CACCTCCCTCCCGCTCTCTGCGACCGCACCCCCACCCTGCACACCACACACCACACCACACCCACCCCGCCCCGCGACCCGCCCGCAGCACCGGCGCCAGCATCCACGAGACGCGGGAGTGGATCCTGCGCAACAGCCCGGTGCCGGTGGGCACGGTGCCCATCTACCAGTGCCTCGAGAAGGCCGGCGGGGCGGTGGAGGGCATCACCTGGGAGCTGTTCAGGCGCGCCTGGCTATGCTGCGCCTGCGCCGCGCTGCGCTGTGCTGCGCCGTGCCGTGCCGTGCACGAGGCTGGTGGCCCGCTGGCCGCCCGCTGCGGCTGCCGGTCTGCTGCCCCTCCGCCGCCGCGCCTCCACACACACATGCCGCCGCCCCGCCCCTGCTCCCTTCTCCCTCCCCTCTCCCTCCTTTCCTCCCGTCAGGGACACGCTGATCGAGCAGGCGGAGCAGGGCGTGGACTACTTCACGATCCACGCAGGCCTGCTGCTGCGCCACATCCCCCTCACAGCGCACCGCCTCACAGGCATCGTCAGCCGGGGCGGCAGCATCCATGCCAAGGTGTGGGGCGGTGTGTGTGGTGTGGTGGGTGGGTGGGGCAGGAGGGCGTGGCAGCTCGGCTCGGCCGGAACCCCAGCTGAGGAGGGTCTGCCCCCGGGCCTGCTGCGGCAGCTCGGGCTGTGACCCCAAACATCTGCCGGGCTGCGCGACCTGGCAGCAGGCGAGACTGCCCGCCTGCCCGCCGCCCGCACACCGCCAACTGCCCTGCCCTCCCACCTCCCACACCTCACCCCCGCTGTGCCTGCTCATCTTCTCAGCTGTGCCTGCTGGACCACGAGGAGAACTTTGCGTACACGCACTGGGACGACATCCTGGACATATGCAGGTGAGGAAGAAAGAAAGAAAACACCAGGACATGTGCATGGATATGGAAGAAAGAAGGAAAACAATGGGCCTTCTGCGCGCGCTTTACACACACACGCCCCATGCAAACTACAACCAGACCAAAGCAGCAGCTTGCCTGCCTGGCCGCATGTGCGCATGGCACCAGCGGGCGCCAGCGGGGCACCGCAGTGCCGCAGCACCCTCCCGCCTGCCCCGCCCTGTCCGCCATGCCCACCTGTACCGCACCTGTACTGCAGGCAGTACGACGTCTCTCTGAGCATCGGCGACGGCCTGCGCCCCGGCTGCATCCACGGTGGGATGAGGGGAGGGCACCCCTGGGAAAAACGGCAGCCAGCATCACCGATGGTGTGGGCGCCGGCGCCTCCAAGCGGCACGCGGCCGCTGCCGCTGCAGCAGCAAGCAGCAGCGAGCGGGAGAGGCACAGTAAAACACATGCGTCTGCCCTCCTTCCCTCCTCCCCACATTTCCACCCGTATCCCCGCCCGCCGCCCCTCTCCCGTGCCCCGCCTCTTGCCGCAGACGCGAACGACGCCGCCCAGTTTGCTGAGCTGGCGACGCAGGGGGAGCTGACCCGGCGGGCCTGGGAGCGGGATGTGCAGGTTATGAACGAGGGGCCGGGTGAGCGCCTGCCCGCCTGCCTGCCCACCTGCCCGCCCGCCAGCCTGCCCGGTGCTTCTAGTCTCAAGCGCCTCGCCTTCCTCCTCCACACCGCCCCCTGCTGCCACAGGCCACGTGCCGCTGCACAAGATCCCGGAGAACATGCAGAAGCAGCTGGAGTGGTGCCACGAGGTGCGGGCAGGGGATCCGCGAGAGGCGGGCCCAGCCAATGGACAGCGCGAGCGCCGGTGGCACGCTGGCGCCGCTACGCTGCTGCAGTTGCCACACCTGCAGTGCAAGCCCTCCACCCGCCGCAGCCGCCGTGCACCCTGCACTTTCCTGTCCCACCCTCTGTCCGTCAACCGCTGCCTGCACCTGAGTTCAGCATTCAGTCGCCACCCCAACCCTCATGCCTGGCACCCATTCAATGGAAGCTCCCGCCCTCCTGCCTGGCCTCCTATAGGTCTGCTAACCGCTTCCCCACTCCCACTCCTGCTCCCCCCACACCTGCTGGGCCTGCCAGGCCCCTTTCTACACGCTGGGCCCGCTGGCAACCGACATCGCCCCCGGATACGACCACATCACTTCGGCCATTGGTGCCGCCACCATCGGGGCGCTGGGTGGGTGACTCCTGCAGCCTGTCAATGCAGGGGCGTGGCGCGGGGCGGGCGGCCGGGCAGGGGCAAGGAGGTGGCTGTGCAGTGGCTGTGCAGTGGCTGTGCAGTGGCAGCGCGTGCTCCCCCACCCTTCCCAGCACGCCCTGCTGCGCACGCTGCCGCCCTCGAGAGGCTCACCCACCCCGAGGGCTCTCTTGCACCCTCGGCTCCCACGCCCGCCTCCCCTGCCTCCCCCTCTGCTCACCCGCCTTCCCATTCCGCCCACGCCGCTGCCCTGCCTCCCTCCCTCCCTCCCTACCTACCTACCTACACCCCTCTCTACACCCCTCCCGCAGGCACCGCCCTGCTGTGCTACGTGACCCCCAAGGAGCACCTGGGCCTGCCCGACAGGGACGACGTGAAGCAGGTGGGGCCTGGGGCTGGCCGCCAGCAGCATGCGGCATGGCTGCTGCTGCTGCTGCTGCTGCCAGGCAGGGGCGTGGCGCAGGTGCAGCGCATGCAGCTGTTGCCACATGTGGATTGGCCCGCTGTACAACAGGGCTGGTGGTGGTGGTGGTGGGGTGCAGTGACGCCAGCAGCGCTGCCGCCGCCGGCGAGCAACGCAGTCTGGAGGGCTGCTGTGCCGCTGGCCGCTGGTGCCGCAGTCGCACGGCGGGGACCGGCCATTGGGTGGCCCTTCCCATGCCATCCCATCCCAT